AGGGAAAGTTTTCTTACACAGCAGGGTTTGTCTATGTGTGTATTTTCCACTAGCAGTTAGTTGAAACTGGGGATTACCCAGGTGTTAACCAACTGTAGAAACATAAAGAGGTGATAGACAGACAAAGGTGTTGTCTAAAGGTCACACCCATGTCTAATTATGTCTAATGGAGGACAAGACTCCTGAAATGTTTGTCCAGGTAAGTGCTCTCAAAGCACAAATACAATTTATCCCAAATCTATTGTAGAGTTTTACAAATGTATTGTACTGTAGGTAACCACTACATACATGGACTCTCCATTCACTCAGACCGTTAAACTCAGTATTCAGCAAAAACTGTGGTGAAAACACTGCTCCCACACCAATAGTTATGGCCAATCTGATCTTAATGGGCCTCACTTTTTAGCCCTCAGCTCATTTCCTCCTTTCTCTCAGAGCTGTCACTCACTGGGTCAGCAGAGGGAGACTGAGAGAGAGAGAGCATGCTGTGCCAGCTATCTAGAGTTACATCAGCCCTTATGCTTTTTGGGTCTAACGGCAATAAACAGAGAGCTCAAAAAGCCATGAATCACACAAAAGAACTTTCTAGAAAACACCCATATGCAGGAGTGCACTTTTCTCACACACACACTAACACAAATGCAAGCACATACACACTTAGCCTTTGACTCCGAAAAGTGATGGAGAACACTGTGTGTACGTATGTTTGTGTGCACTCACACGTAGGTCAAAGTGATGTCCCATCTCATATCTGTCAGCACCCACTGTTTATTTACTTGGTTATATTTGTTGACCTAGTCACATGATCTGAGAGTGAGAGGTGCAGAACCTGAGGCACCCCAGAGCGCCCAGTCAGGATGTGATGAGAGACACGGACCTGTGACCTCACGCACTCAGCCACACATACACACACACACACACACACGCAAGCACTGGCACAATGTGATCTCCTCCTTCAAAGTCTCCCTCACCCTTAAATCTTATATTCTCCTTTTCCTTTGACTTTTGTCACCCTCTGCCGCTCTTTGGTAAACCATCTTCCTTCTCTTCTCCCTCTCATTTAGACCGGTTGTCTGCTGGGGCTTTCTCATTAAAAGTGAAACGGATGCTTTGTTAGCCAACGAGAACAAATGACAACACCAGTGCGCACCCTAAGTGTGTGCTGTTAAATGTTAAAAACATTCTGACACTTATCAAAATACAAATAAATTTCAACCAATTATCATTCATGGTATATGCACTACATAATTAGCTTAATGTACAGGAGCCTCATCTCATAAATCCTGATGTACAGCTGTAATTAACCCATTAGTTCATCAACAGAAAAGCTGATAACTATTCTGAAAATTAACTGTTAGCCACTATTTATAAGGCAAAAAGCACATTCAAGAATTTTGCACATGCTGGAAAACATCCATTTTCCAGCTTCTGACACTGGATCATTTGCTGCTTTTCTCTGTTTTAAATTACTGTAAATTGAAAAATTGTTAAAAATGGTACTGAATGGTTACAGCACATGCCACATGTAGAGACAGCACTCCGATCATTTCAACTTTTGTTCCTATTTCCATCCTCTCATCTCTTTTCTTCCACAATCCACTATGCATGGTGCGTAATGGTGCATTAATAGCTGGTGTAAAGATATGCACGCTAACCTAATGCTCGTCTTCATTTTCTCACACAACCACACACACTTGAAGTCTACAAGATCAACACTGAGCTAACTGTTGTTTCATCTGCACACTTGTCCAAACTTTCGTCATGCCTGATCTCCATTAATTGAATTATCTGTCACCCTTAGCATCATGTGTTGACACAGGCCTCAGCCAAGTTTATCTACCTCCCTCTTCTCTCAGCCCATTTAAATTTCTCTCACTTGTCCTGTCATCTTCAATCTCTCACTCACATTCCTCTTATGGCTCAAGTCCCAATTTCTACTTTGTTTTGCCTGAAGTACAAAAGTCACATTTAAACTTTGCAAAAGTCTGAGTGAAAATAATCGAATTAACAGCAGCCCAGAACACACAAACAATTTAAAATGCAAACATTATGCCAATCACCCTCAGTGTTTTTAGAGACAAACATGTATAAGTGTTTGAAATGGGAACGTGCAATGTTTTAATGTATAGTTTTAGTTCTGTTTAGAAATACTGTGGATACAATGTGTTCAACTGTCTCTTATGTTGTCTTACTTTAATTTTATATATTCTATAAATATTGGTTTTGTGTTTGATAGAACTGTGCTGCTATTTTGGTCTCATTTATGAGACAAGATAAATGAGAATAAAAAAGTTTTCATGGCGGTCAAACTATCATGGGCACTTGGCTTTTGGGTGCAATGGCATTATAGGGAAACCGCACTGGTGAAGGTTTGAATTCTCTGAGTTCTGTGCAGTTGCTACTGTGCTTTTACACCAACAGCCTCACACAACTGTCTGCTCTGACTCTTTGCTTGAGTCTAATTCACAGCAGATATTCCACTGCCCAGGGACGAACAAAAAAAATAAATAAAAACACACTTACCTGGTATGTTCCAATTCCTATGTGTTTAGGATCAATCTTCACAAGCTCAGCCATTGGATCTTGGACACGCCTTCCAATGGACACTGTCAACAAACGCACACACAGGAAGCAACTATGGGATTCTAGGCCTCATGAGATTCTGTGGTTTGTGTTTTTCATAAACTTGCTATCTGAATCACAGTTATTGAATATGCAAATCCATACGTGCTATAATTACTGAATATGGTAATTGTCTGCATATTACAATGCTGGCCTGAGGGCAGGCCAAACCTGATTGTCATTCCTCCACCCGCAATAATAATAATTAAAGCTGGCTTTCAACTACACCCTCTGCACCTGTCACTTAGCTTCTTAATAGATGCTGGAGTTATGAACCTTTAAAAGCCACTAATTTGGCTACCCCCATCCACACTGGCACACAGCCAAATGTAGCGCACAAATAAACACATACTCTGTAGCAACCAAAGGGTTTGCTTTTAATGATGGAGTCTGTAAGGCTTCAGCTTGCTGCTGTGCATGAAGCCAAATGTCTTTTCCATTAATATGCTGGCAGGACCCAGTGACAAGAAGAAAAATTACAAACAACCTTACTCAAATACACACTATAGTACATGACATCAGCCCCAACACACACAGGGAGAAAATAACACAAACAAACAGCTGATCACATTCACATCACTGTAAAAGACAAAGATCTTGCCAACTCTGGGTGTTAACACACTGTTTTCTCATTATTCTTGTCATTTGTTTCAAAGTTTGAAAAAAAATGTTGACCTGTAACAGCCATATATTTGAGATCACTATAACAAATTACAGTGGCTTGGGTCTCTCTAGGAATGGAGACCATCCAAAATGTGATGCACATCAAATTTAGGTTTAAAAAAAATAACTATGATGAATTAAAAACAATATAGGACACAATTTGTCTCATCCTGTGTGGATGTGCTGCTGCTTGCCACTGTTTTATATGTGTGCATTGTCTTTATGTTTGAATTTCAGAAGTCAATGATGTAGTATGCTGCACAAAACGCATCAGACTTCAATCTTTGAAGCACAACAGACAAAGAAAAAGCGGGGTTGGATGTCTGGAATCAATGGTTCTTCTCACCTCTCTCTCCTCTGGCTGTGGTGGGAGGCTGCTGCCTCAGATAATATTTAGACAGGGATGGAGTTTCAACCCTGGCCTTGCTCAATGCACCACCAAAACTCTCCAATAATCTTTCCATCTATTCTGTCTCTGACTCTCCCTCTCTCTCTCTCTCTGAGCGGAGCCAATTTGTAAATTGAATCCAGCATAACTCTCTGACACTTATTGAAAGTTTATGAGCCAAACACAGCAATATAAAAATGGGAAGCAATGAAAAAAAGAACTGGAAGAATGTGGCGCATTCTGGTGGGACAGAGGGACAACTGTGAGGTGGCTATACTGCTTTTGTTGCAGAGTACAAGGTGGAAAAAAGTTAGACTAAAAACATCAACTTTACAAGAAATGCAGCATGGATTACCTGCCATACTGTAACGAGCAATCAATGAGTGAAAACAGAAAGAAAACTGATCTATATGCTCAACTAATTTTGTTATTGTGGCCACTCAACTCATCTCTCGCTCTATCTCAGATCAGGGTGGAGAGGAGCACATGAATAATCTAAACACACAGGAACTGCCCTCCTGGAGAAAGGCTGAGATATTGCCTATCACCACTAGGTGTCCCTTGATTTCACAACACACAAATGGGACAGATGGAAAATGACTAACACACAGTTCTCTATATACTATGATACATGACCACTTATACAGACTGAGGCACAAACATACATATGCAACAAAGGCAAAACAGGCAAACACTCTTTTGCCATGTCCAACTCTGCAACTACTGTATGTCCTGACACAGCACGTCTTTCTTTCTACACCCATCCAAAGATAAACACTGTAGATTTTTCATGGCTTTCATTAGGGATATAAATATGACTCTCCATGACTTTCACTGCTACTGACCACAGGAAACAAGTAAGGAATAATCCAGCCTCACTTGATTTATAGCTTTTAGAGAGGAAGTCTGCTGGAAACATTTATTCTCCCAAACCGGTGGTGATTCTTTTTATTCTGCAGTGTTTCCAGTGATGCAGTATGTAAAGTGATTAAGGAAGAGGTGACAAGTGACAAAAAATAGGAGAGACAGAAATTCAATAATAATGCAACTATACTAATTCACAATCATTGTTATGTGGGACTGAGATCACACAGGGATCTAAATCATGCTCACAAAACGATTTATGTGCAATCCTAGACTATACTGTATGTTTCTGCTAAGAGGGTGGGAAAAAAATTTAAGCTTTCCCTATTATCTGACATTTTATAGACAAAACAATAAACAGCTTAAATGATAATTAAAATAACTGTTAGTTGTAGTCCTCTACAGTGAGTCTTCAACAACGCCAGTAACTTTGCCATATGGCCAGGAACATCACACAACTGTTTGGCAAAATATCACTGTCAGATGAAGACAATCCATTCTTAGCTAGTGTACCTGCACTCCTAAGGTTGGGGTCCAGGTCTGGCATCTCTTTGACCGCCTCAGGGCTCACACTATAGATGGATGCACCTGCCTCATTTGTTATACTGCAGGAAGAAAGGGAAGGAAAACATTATAGTAGAGAGATATATAGGAACAGGTGATAAAATGTAGGTTACCCAGTGGGGGAGAAGTTGAGGAAGAGAGGGGTGCAGAGAGAGCAGGTTTTACTGCTTGAAAGAAAGACCGTTATGGAAAATAGCCCCTACCATAAACCTTAAATAATGCAGCTGACAACATTTCTAACTGGTTCCTCAATAGACTGTGGTTGAGCCTTTGTATTCAGTCTGCATCACCATTAGTAGTCCTGCCTTAACATTAACAGGACAGCAACAATATTTTAAATGCCTTTAGAAATTCTTACTCAGCTGGTGTACAGAACAGCATGGATCTTGATTCCATGTATGCACCATACATATCCACATATTCAGAATATGTGACTGTTTCAGATTATTTTGCCCACTTAAAGTATGACACATCTAGTTTTCTGTAAATAATGTTTAGACTACCTTTTCAAGTTTAAATGAATGACTCAGTGATACTGTGCGTTTGATTAAGTACAAGTCATTGAGTCAGCAGACCTAAGGGCACTTGCAATGTATGTGATATTACTGCCACCTAGAGGCCATTGCAGTGTACTGCTATTTCTTAAACATCTAATTACTGCCATGAATGTGACTGACAGATTTTTGCAGAAATGTGACTGCATAACAGTGTTTGTATTGAAATTTCTTTTGATATTCAGTCTAATGAGAGGCATGCTAAAACCCAGGATTTCCTCCTCAGTTTTTTTTAAATTATTTTTCCAAGAAAACGTGCTTTTGTTCATTCTTCTCTATGTGAAGGTAAAACAGATCAAAAACATTCTGGTACACCATTTTCCCAGTCACATTGCTCTAAAATTTGCAGTCAACTTCAGAACCTCATCACAGCTTGACAAAAACACTCTTGTTCAACTACCCAGGGGAGTAATCTTGAAAATATTCATTAAATTCAGCTGAAACTGGGCTGAGGTTTACATGCCACTTTCTGTATCACTGATGTTTTTCACATGTAGATCTAGACAGTGAAAGTGAGCCGATTCTAGCCAGTTGGATAAACATGGTAACAAATGACACCATTTACGATGTGAATATATTCAGTCTAAAGTAGGCTGCTTACATCCATCGCCACACAGACAGGATGGTGGCACAACAAAACCATTGATACCAGTGTTAATGCCGACATACAACTCAAGTTGTCATGTTGGGTGGATGGAGAGAGAGTGAGGACTGGAGCAAGGAAGGGGGACTTTTTCCTCAGGGCTGACCAATATGATGATGGGGTCAGCACCTCCCCCATGTCAAAGGTGCACACACACACACACAGTTCCAGAGGCCTGGATCTCACTGCAACCTTGCCAATTACAAATATCTTGTTAATGACGAGTGACAGAGGCCTTCTGATAAGAATCACATTTAAATTAATTTGTCCTCTGCCCCTCTCGTTCCCAGTGTGTCTATTCATCCCTTCCTCTGCTCCACTTTTCTTTTTGTCAGCTCCCCATCCCTCGTGATGACAGCTGACATATCACCATGGTGACGCTACTAACGAGCACTGGCACATGACCTTCAAGGAGGTCAAATCAGAGCTGGTCATTAACCTGACATTCACACAGAAACATAACACATTCATTTATGTCACGTACAATACAGAAAATGAAGCTAATTTAAAAAATGGCCACTCTACTCAAGTTTCACACAGCTCTCTCTCCTCAAACAGAGTATGCACAGACTCTGCTCTCTTTCAGACACTTCAGGACAAAAGAGGTCAAGTGGAAGAGCCCCAGCTAGCTTTCTTCAAGAGAGACAAAATGACAAAAAAGAGAGAACAGGAGAGATGGGGCAGAAAAAATATGATAAGAACCTATAGAATGAGGAGGATAGAGAGAGAAAAGAAAGAGTGGCCACCAGCCCCTATCATGTCTAACTTAATTAAGGCTGCCGCTGGGGCAGCTGGGTAACAGCACTGTCATGGATACAGCTTTGTGCCCTCACCACAGCTTCTACGGCTGTTGCCATAGTCAGGGCATCATCCTGGCAGCCAACAGAAGGTTGTCTGCTCCCTAGATTTATGGCCTAAGTGGGTGAATGGTGGAAGCATGGACACAGACACACACTCACTTGGAGACACAAAGTCAATGATCGCCTCTTGGTGTAAAGTGATGACTTGATGGCCCTGTAGGGTTAACATTTACTTGCACTCAGGCCTGGCTTTAACCCTGTCCATCTGGGGGCAAGGTCACAAACTGGCTGCCCTAACTGTTCCCCTACTGGTCATCTTACCACTGGGCCTAAAACACAACACACATCATGACTGGCCCCCTGCAGCCCCTCAAGAAAACCCAACATTGGAAGAGATGGATACACATTTTGATACCTCATTACAGTCTTCTGTCACACACAACCCTAGTCTAATTTAACAACAGCTCATCAGATCAGCCAGAAAAGAAAAGGGGCAGTGATATCACCAACTAATTTGATACGGTGGACAAAAAAAGTTGGAGGGAGACTGGAAAAACATATATAAATCTTGATATGTCAGTGGCAGTGCAGTGTAGATAAGTGCCAGCATACTGCAAGTGACAGTCATGGTTTCGTAAAACGG